TCACGTGTTTCAGCGTTTTTTTTTAATGTTGGAAGTTGTCGAAATATTTGACCGTCCCGGTACATAATTGACACCCTGTAGAAGTATGGAATTATTAATCGATACGTGTATACTCATACATGTTTTTCTTCATCATTATATCACCATCTAATATTCTGCAATTTTTTATTTGCAATTGTTTCCCGCGCGTCTTATAGTCGGCAATATCGGGATGTATAACTTAATGGAAATTTTAAATAAGAGAGTAAAAGCAGAATATTTAAAATACTTTGTTGCAAGTTGATCGTTCGATACTTTCGAGAAGCACTATTGTATGCATGCGCTTTTTCCTTACATAGAAAGTAACGTCGATTCACGAAAAAGGAACAGATCGTCAGTCTTTAGATAACACTAGACATGGAAAGTTCGAAATATAATGGATACCAAGGTGCTTATATATAAATTACAATTATTCTAATTATATATGAAAAGAGCCTTCTGGAAATAATACCTTAATAAGAATATGTGCAAACAGTTGTATCATTTACAATCTATGTTTTATGTTTTTAACGTTAACAAAAAGTTTGTATAACATCAATTAATTTATTGTTATTATTATTATTTATTATTATTATTAGTTATTTATTATTTCCTGAATAATCTTTAGATTTACATAATTAGTACAAAAATATCTTATTTTAAACTATTACACTCAGTGCGTTTGACTCAATTATAAATACATTTATGTATTTGGAATTGTGTATTACAAATCCTATTATTATAAGGTCTGTTCTTATCAAGGTTTCTGTAGGTAGATTTCGAGTGGGCGGTAAAATTAAACCGTTTCGTTTTAAATTTGATTGGACTTTGGCCTAGGACTGCACAAGATCCTTGGCAGAAATTAATATGCAATTTTCGAGTGCTGGTGTTGTGTCTGGGATTAACGGTCTGCATTCTTATTCCTTCTATACATTCCCTAATAAAAATTTTTGGAGACAGTTCACTAATGTTAGATAATTTACAACTTACGTTACCAGTCATAAGCTTTTTGATTAGAATCATTATTTTTTGGTGGAAAAAAGAAGGTAATCATCATTTTGGTCGTCTCTTACAAGGTTTAAAAGTACAATAACTTATATGTAAATTAAATGTTCAGATTAATATTACATATAGATATTCAAATACATATTTATAGATCACATTACATATAGATATTCAAATGCATATTTATAGATCACCCAATTTATTTACATTAGAAAAATTGATTCATCTTTGAAAATATACATATATATTTTTATGTACAAACATGTTTCATTAGAGTTGTTAAATAATAAAATCTACGAATTACATATTTTAAGCATTGTTTACATCTCAAAAATTATGTATATATATAGAGAGGAAAGGCCCCTAATATATACCGAATTCATTTTGGATAAATGTTAGAAGTCTATGGGTAGAGAACTTAAAAAAATAATAGGTCATTTTGAAGGGAATTTAATAAGCTTTAAGATAACGTTATATATAAAATTTAATTCAAATTCCATTTTTTTTTTCAAATTAGCGATATGTAAAAAGTGAGCAAATCACAAATTCAAAAAATTGTGCTCCTAATATGAGATGCCCCAAGAAATCGATAGTAAAACGCAAGATATATCAATATTGCAACTAAAAAACTTTATTTCATGTTTCTAAAATGCAAACAAACACAGCCAGGGTGCGTGAAAAATAAGCATGCGATAGATTATATCCGTCTTCAGGTAGTTGGAATCAAGCATCGCAGAAATAGACACTCGACGTTCATTCCGGTTGTCCTTTTTATTATACATAGTACAATAACATTTACTCTTTAGCAACGATTTTCACTATGACATAGGAGCATGGGTTATTTCATATTAGAAATATCCTGGGTATCTCATATTATGATTTCCAAGCCTTATGGTTATATGATCATCAAATCTAACTTCTGTAATTAAACAATTCAACATATCCCGTATTTTTCTATTAGTATGATCTTACTCTATCACTACATGAAGAATTTATTGCCAAATATTTATTAATTAAATATTAAACAAGATTTAAAGGCTCATCTCAATGAAACTTGAAGATATCAAAATTCTAAAATCTTTTTTTACAATATGACTACAGGCATGATCTAATAATGAGTTTTCTACTAAATAGTTTTCAATCCAAGAGCAATAAATTCATGGTGGAACCATTAAATAACGTTTATTAATTTAGCAGAAATGCCGCTATCTCATATTAGGCGCCTATCTCATTATAGGGAGCTTTCCTCTATATATATATATATATATATATTTATGATTTATTAGAATTAAATGTGTACCTATTCTTTAAATAATATCTTTTTATAACAAAATCGATTTTGCTAATTTGTTTATAAAAACATTGTAGAAAATTATAAAATATTGCATTATTTTAAACCTATATGTTTGCATATAAATATTCACACATATTCATATAGAGATAAAGTATTTATTTTTTTAAATAACAGATTTTGTATGATATCTAATGTATAAGAGAATTTGTACATTCTAAAATTATCACTTTTATTGATTTAAAAAATTGTAACATTATTTTTCGTGAAGGAATACGAAAATTGTGATATTATTTCCATATTTTTTTTTAATCTTTTACTATTTAAGCTTAATATATTTTAATTCAACAGCGCTGTAAAATTATTTTATATAAAAATGTTTACTTTTAAGCTAATATACCAATTATAAATATGATTATGAAAGATTGGATAATGTTAAAAAGTGATCAAGAGAGAAGCATGATGATCCAAAGAGCGCAAAATGCTCGTATAATTTCTATTTGCTCTTATTGTATAATGGCATTAGCGTGCTTCTTCATCACAGTATTGCCAATTTTTGGGATGTCAATAAGACTGACTTCAAATATTACTGATCCAGGAAAACTATTGCCAGTACAAACTCATTACATTTATGATATAACAAAAAGGCCGTATTACGAACTGACATTTATTAGTCAAGTCATATACATAGCAATTAGCGCGGTAGTCTATGCTGGAATAGACAATTTTCTTAGTCTCTTAATTTTTCACGTATGCGGCCAATTAGACATTCTAAAAAATCGTTTGACACATTTAAATAAGTACATAAATTATCACAAAATGCTAAAATATTGCATAATAAATCATAATCGTTTGCTCAGGTATGTTACTTATAAGAAAATATATGGGTATATAGAAGCAGAATTCATGTAAAACGTATCGTAAAATATATTAGTACATTACATATCTTTTAACAGAACTATTGATGTTATTGAAGATACATATAATATAATATTTCTCTCCTTATTTATATATAATGCAATTCTCTTCGCATTCTTCGGATTTCGGATGATCAGTGTAAGTATTTAAATGTTTGAATAAGAACTTATTTAAAGAAGTTTACTTAAATTAATAAATAATACTTACTAAAAGATATATTAATATTAAATGAACAGATATTCAATTAAAATAAAAAGTTACTATATCTATGTAATGTTATTTTAAAATTCTAAATTAATGTTATTAAGAAAATTAATTTTTTCCATTTATTTTATATATTAACTAGCTGTTTGATAAAGGAAATGATATATCGATCACTCATTTAATATATTTTTTTTCCATCTTTATGAATTTGTTTGCACATATGTGCCTATATTGCGCTCTTGGTGAGATTTTAATAGCTCAGGTTAGTTATACATACATATAGCATCTTCACAAGAAAAATGACACAAATGATATAAAATATAATATTGTTCAAAAGTAGAACAGAGAGAAAACTGCGTATTTTTAAATTAATTATTTCGGCAATATTAAACATAGAACTAATAAAAAGTTGCTTATTTCAACTTCCAACTTGTATCACTTTTTCTAATAGAAAGCTGAAGTATATTAAACATTTCGCACATAACATAGAATACGAAAAATTACAACTTGTGTCACTTTTTTTGCAATTATATATATATATATATGTAGGAAAAGATTTTTTTGTGCCTTCAATACAAAAACTGTTTATTTGGGTCAATTTTTAACGGCAACTAAATATTTTGTTTATCTAAAAAAATAATTAATGTCTGTCTAGCTGCCCCCTCCTCCTCACTTAACCAAATCTGAGTAAATAATGCGTTATTTATGTGCTCTTAAAATTAGCAAAAAAAAAAATTTTTTTGCGCTTATTTCGTTTAGCTAAAAAAAAATTTTTTTTGTGGGAAACTGAGTAAGCTGTTAGTTAGTTCCTCACGTGTTAATAACAACCGATTTCCATAAAATCAAATTCACAAGATTTATGCGCTATTTATGAGCTTTCATATTCACATAATTTCAATTTTTGTGCTGCATCCCTTAAGGCACTTCCCTCTTGGAGCAAACAGTCATAATCATCCTTAAGTCGTTTAAAATTGCAAAATTATTAATCGCTATCTAACTATGTAAAATATATCTTTAATTTATGCACTACCATTTCCAAGCAATTTCTATTTTTGTGCTGCGTAATTTTGCAATTTTAAATGAGTTACGGATGCATATGACTGTTTACTCCAAGAGGGAAGTGCTTTAAGGAATGCAGCGCAAAAATTGAAACTATGTGTATATGAAAGAGCATAAGTAGCACATAAATTCTGTGTAATTGATTTTCCAAATCAGTTGTTATTAACACGGGGACTGACAGCCTACTCAGCCTCCCACAAAAAATTTTTTTTAGCTAACTGAAATAAGCGCAAAAATTATTTTTGCGGATTTTATAAGCGCATAAATAGCCCATTATTATATATAATTTATTCATTAAGATTTAATTAAATGGGGGAAGGGGCCAGCTTCAACATAATTATTTTTTTGTTTCGTAAATAACAAAAATATTTGTCTATATCAACTAAACAATTTAGTTTATATAAAAGTACAGATTTGTTCAGTACATTTTAACAAAAGTTTTTTTTGGTATATTTCAACCAAATTTTTGTTGTTACAGCAAAATTTTGATTTATGAAACAAAACATAGTTTTTATTATTAGTGTCATATGATAATGACTAATTTTTATTTGAATACGTACAATGTACATAACAATTAATATCTAAAAGTGCTTCTGATATTTTCAAGTGCAATAAAATATATTATGCAGCATATAACAACAAATGGTACACTCTAAATTCAGAAACTATAGAAGATTTGTTGTTTTTAATGACAAGAGGTTCTAAACCGGTCTATCTCACTGCTGGAAAAGTGTCTCCTGTTACAATGACTACATTTTGCAATGTAAGATTAATGTTTGATTTTGTCTTGAATATGAACATATTGATATCATTAAACTTTTATTTAAAATATTATTATAGAACTTGTACTACATTTTAATATGTATATAAAATTCGATTTTTTTATTTTGTTCTATTTATGTACAATCATAGTAGTACAATATGTATAATTACAGTAAATCAAAGTTATATTGTTAACTGTAACCATTAAAAAATATATTTTTCAGTTTGTTAGAGTATCTATTGGTTATATATCCGTCCTGCACACAACGAAAAATTGAAAAAAAAATAAGAAAAATGTAAAATTTTTTCGGTGTGCAATTTTTAATAGAATATTATAAAATATAATATTATAGAATATAAGCTTGTAAAGCTTGAGAATAAATGAATCTTATATAAATAAATTTTATTTGTCTTCCTTCACAAATCATACAATTTTTGTCTAAAACAATTTTGTCTACCGGGTTTAGATTTAGACATATTCTTGTGATTTATTTTATGATCTCGACCCAGTATATTTAAATATAACTTTGAGGAAAAATTGTATTAATGAAACATAAAGTGCATAAAATGAGTTTGAATGTTCCATACATTCAAAATTTCATATTTTATCGATAAAGCCAAATTAATTACAAGTTAATATTATTCTACGGTAAACACAATAATTAAGAAAAAATTAATCAATCCTCATTATTTGTTTATTAAATAGGTCATAAACACAAAAGTAAATTATAACTATGTTCTCATTTATATTCTCTACAATGTCACAATATTACATTTATTTTAAAATTGCAATTGTAGATAAACCGAATAAAGACTTTAATTGCAATAAAAAAGCAACATTATACACAAAGTATTGCTCACTATATACAATACAAAAACAAAAAAGTATAATTCAGATCATATGCAATGCTCGAAATCAATTACAAGTTCGTGAGAACTTAACAAGAGTGTAAAAATAGGTTGCAAACAGGCATTTAACAACCCCTCGATGTTGTATCAGTTTTTATCTTCGAATGCTGCACACACGAGGCACTGACAAAACTTTTACAGCAAGAAGGATTTAAAATTTTTTAAGTCCATCCTCTTTATGCAATAATCATGTATTACTTTTAAAAACTTTTATTATGCACACACGCATGAATTATCGGTTAAATGAAAGTTAATGTCGTTCTATAAAGAGAAAGTAGATGTCAGTGAATAATGAAGGAACTGTATGAAGCAATAAAATAATAGCTAGATTCTATGGTGGTGGAATTCTGTGATCGAATATCATAGATATGAGGAGCTCCTCTATGAAAAATGTCTATATTCGAAAAGTGAGTATATGAAAGAGGCCTAATACCGTAAAATATAAAATAAATATACCCATATACTGTACCTAATTTTTACAATAAAAGTAATATTACTCACCATTGGACGTTACGAGATGACTATAGTTCAGACTATAGACACCTCAAAAAAATCGATTACGACTGCGTACAAACATGATTGCTACATCTACATAACTTGCAGCATAACTAACTACTTATCAACCAGTCATTACTTCAGTTATTATTCATGACTGCTTTGTTGTACTAGTAATTATCTGCAGTTGCACAATAAGAAGGGACATGTAGAATTTTTTAAACCTTCTATCACTAAACATCTTGCGTTTTTAAGAATTTGTATTATGTACATGATATATATCACGCCCGTTGTATAGATATCGTTGTAAAAGAAACAGAGTTGTCAGTTCATCTCCTACGTTCAACATGAAGACATCAAAATGTCTTGCGTATTGGAACCATAGTAGATATGATTATGGATCATTATCAAAAAAAGGTCAGATAAAATATAGTTTGTCAAAAGTAGAACGCATAATCTATCAAACCTTTCTTAAAACAGATTTTGAATGGGCAGTGGAGTTAAATCGATTTAGTCTAAAATTAATTGGACTTTGGCCTAAGTCCGAACAAAATACATGGGAAAAACGTTTGTGCAATTTACGCGTACTTCTTACTTTCTTATTGATAATAATTGCCCTTATGATTCCTGCTATACATTCTCTAATAAGAGTTCATTTTGACATTTTACTTGTAACGGATAATTTGATGTGTACTTTACCAGGCATTACTAGCCTCTTAAGACTTGTAATTTTTTGGTGGAAGAGAAAAGGTAGATAATATACCAATTTAATTATTATACGATATGGGATATTTACAATACACATACGTTTTATATATCAGCATAATTAATCTCTATTTTTTGTACAATTCTAAAATGGAATTAAAGGTTTATTTATATTTACATTGAATTTTAGAAAAATCAAAAACAAAATAAGTTAGATTCATGTACCGCAGTTGTTATTGATTTATGTACACCCAAGGACATTCTTTTCCCTTCGGTTACTTTTTTAAAACTTTCAAAAATTCAGGTTATTTCGTTCTTAAGTCAAATTTAGTTGTAAGCGGGCGTAAGGTCGTGTCGTTAATCGCGCACGGACTATGAGTATTAATGCAGAAAAGTGGTCATTTTTCAATTTGTGAAAATTTCAGAGGGAAGGAAGTCCTTGGGTGTACAATAATAATTATTTATATTTTACGTTTATTGCATATATGTAGAATTATTGTTACAATTGCGGACTAATCACACATAATTACAAAAAAAATGTTTTAATTAACTGGAAATAAAATTGTTTTCTTTTTAAATATTGTTGGTCATTGAATTCGAATTTATAAATAAATTTGCCCTCTATTACACACACACATTTAGTTTTTTATAATTCTTATGTAGTAAAAAAAAAATTGCGAAAAATCAGCGAAAATTAAAAAAAACATTTGAAAAACACAAAAATGCAATTTTTCAAAAACCCGTCACTATATTTATCGATTATCTAAAAAATATGATAGAGCAAAACAGTTTAAAGGTTTTGTATATTTACTTAAGCCATATTGAATCGTAACATAAGAGAGAAATGTACCACAAGCGACACACTTTTTTTATTAACAAATATTGCTTGACAGCCTGGGATCCCTACATTTAGTTGAATTAACTAATATTTGTTTGAAACAGCAACATTTTTTCTCTGTGTATATGTAGTTAACATTTATTTTATTATATTATTATTAAATTCTTGTCGTTATATTCTTAAAGCTGTCGCACCAATAATACATTTGATTGCGAACGATTGGACAAAGACAACAACATCTCAAGAAAAAGCAATGATGATAGCAAAAGCGCAAATTGCACGCATTATTGTCACATTTGGATATGGCATGATGGGAGCGGCCTTTATTGTTATGCTTGTTTTGCCTCTATTTGGTTACTCGGTAAGATACCTGTCTAATATTACTGCAGATCTGGAGAGACCACTCCCAATGCAGACATATTATATCTATGATACAACAAGAAGTCCACAATATGAATTGACATATGCTGCTCAAAGTATTGCCGCATTTCTTTGTACAGCATGCTATACAGGCATAGACAATTTTCTTAGTCTTTCAGTATTTCATATTTCTGGTCAACTGGACATTCTGAGAAATCGTCTCTTGCATTTACATATTGTCGACAATTTTAACAACGTTTTAAAGAGTTGTTTATATATATATGTGTGTGTGTGTGTGTGTGTACAATAGATTCCGGATTACCCAACAATGCTTTTTTGTCTCCCGGATTATTCGACCATGTTAAAGAGTTCTCGTAATGATAACATTAAGCGCGATTTTTTTAGAATACATCTACCATGGTGAGAACGTCGATTCAATAATAAGGTCAGATAATCCGGAAGATGAAAAAAACGCTGTCGAATAATCCGGAATCTACTGTATACATGTTTTAAATGTTACGTACATGTAAGTAATATGTAAGAATGAAATAATTGAAAGAATATTAATTGCAATATTACATGTAAATAATTTTGTATATACATTTTTTTATCATAAATAAAAAACTTATAAAGAAGGGAATCTGATAATGAACGGAATTGAGTGTAGAACGCAAGTCAGTTATAATAGCGTTATTGCGCTAAGAGATACGAATCAAAATTATTTTGAAAAAATCTACCAAGTAGCGAATAGTTATCTAGATACCATTTGAATGAGTTCTTTTCAGCTAAGTTCTTTGTGTCTGTAAGCAATTTCGGTGATTTTTACAGTAACTAATAACTAAAACAGTTTTAAAAAATGTCTGATTAAATTTTACTTAGCTTTTTTTCTCTTAAAAATTTTTTCAAGCATTTAAATATTCATAATTTGAACAGCAGATCCAAAGAAAAATAAAATTTCACGACACTATCTGACATTGATTTTTATCAGTTTTCACGAAAATTGTCAAATGTTTTTACAAACTCATACAAAAAAATTTAACTGTAAAGAAATCAATTAACTCAGAACTACGCTACGTGGCAAAGTTATTAACAATTATGACATTAAAGTATATTTCTTATCGAAATAAAAAATTGTTACTTTAAAATTATATTAAAGATTCAGACAAAATTAGTATTCTTATCTAATAATACAAAATATCTTCTTATAGATGTGTATATAATACTATATAAACATGATAGACATATCTTCTTTAGTGTAAAGTGTTGTATAAAATGACATTTTCTAGAGCAATTAACCATGTGGAAGATATATTCAGTATAATATTGCTGATACTATTTCTATATTTTGGTACGCTCTTCGCTTTCTATGGATTTTGGATAATAAACGTAATTACTTTACAAGAATTTTTGTTATACAATTTACTACTTTATAAATAGTTTTCATATACATACAAATAACGTCATGTTTATATCCCAAGTAAAATCGCAACTCACTTACACACTTTTTTACATGTTTTTTATTAACAAGAATTTTCTAATTAAATATTTAAGAAAACTTTAGAATTGAAATAACCAAAATAATGCACACGAGAGAATTCAGTATTTAATATTTACATAATAGATATAATTGCATAAGCTATATTAATATATCTAATAATTTCTACAAGATAATCATCTCACGAAATACCAATTTCTAATTTTAATGAAAAATTTATATATAGGTTACGTAAATAGATGAAATCAGGTAATAGTGGCTGAGAAGCAAAGAGAACAGTTTTAGACTGGATTGTTCCATCTTTCGATTAACTTTAGCTGGCTGTCTTATTCTCTTACTCTCTTATGTTCTTACTCTTTTGATCTTTTGTTTCTGCAATAGGTATAAGTTATCACATATCCAAAAATGAAACAACCCAACATTAAGCAGTAAAAAATCTTATACATATAAATCGTTTTTTTATTACACCTGAAAAA